AAATATAAGTATAAAATGAGGTATTATTTATTAATCTTATACGTCAAATAAAATCTAAATAATTTCTTCGAAATACGATCACGTTTATCTCCAGATATTATTGAGTTTCGCGACGATGTTCACTTATATAAACAACTATATAAAAATCATTATTATAATCATAGACATCTATATACATTCTTCGTAATTAAGACAGTACTCTTCGTGTATAACTAAATCGAAATATTATCAGAAAAATAAGTATAAAAAGAGGTATTTTCTAAAAATCTAATATATCTAAAATAGTGTAAGGAGAATCTTCGAAATACGATCAAGTATATCTTCAGATATTAAAAAGTTTCACAACGTTGTTTACTTGTATAAATAATTATATAAAAATCATTATTATAAACACAGAAATCTATATACATTCTTCGTAATTAAGACAGTACTCTCCGTGTATAACTAAATCGAAATATCATAAATATAAGTATAAAATGAGGTATTATTTATTAATCTTATACGTCAAATAAAATCAAAATAGTTTCTTCGAAATACAATCACGTATATCTCCAGATATTATTGAGTTTCGCGACGATATTCACTTATACAAAGAATTTTATAAAAACCATTATTATAAATATATAAATCTATATACACTCTTCGTAATTAAGACAATACTTTTCATGTATAACTAAATCGAAATATCACAAATATATGTATATAATGAGGAATTTTTTAAAAATCTAATATATTAATAATAATCTAAATTGTTTCTTCGAAATACGATCAAGTATATCTTCAGATATTTTAAAGTTTCACAACGTTCTTCACATGTATAAATAATTATAGAAAAATCATTATTATAAATATAGAAATCTATATACATTCTCCGCAATTAAGACAGTAATCTTCACATATAACTCAATCGAAATATCACAAATATAAGTATAAAATGAGGTATTATTTATTAATCTTATACGTCAAATACAGTCTAAATAGTTTCTTCGAAATACGATCACGTATATCTCCAGATATTATTGAGTTTCGCGACGATATTCACTTATATGAATAATTATATAAAAATCATTATTATAAACACAGAAATCTATATACATTCTTCGTAATTAGGACAGTATTCTTCGTTTACTATTATCGAACTTTTATCGGAAATATAAGTATATAATGAGGAATTTTTTAAAAATCTAATATATCAAAAATAATCTAAATAGTTTCTTCGAAATATGATCAAGTATATCTTCATATATTATAAAGTTTCACAACGTTGTTTATTTGTATAAATAATTATATAAGTCATTGTTATAAACTTAGAAATTTATATACATTCTTCGTAATTAACACAGTACTCTTCGTGTATAACTAAATCGAAATATCACATATATAAATATATAATGAGATATTATTTATAAGTCTGAAGTATCCCAAATAATCGAAATTGTTTTCTTGACATACAAATATTTTTTTTAATGTTTTAAGTTTTTTGCCCATTATAGTATACGTATAAATTTCATAATATGAACAATGTAATATATAAAAACATTTGTATGAATATTTTTTAATTAGGACCATATTGTTCATAAATTTTAAAATCGATATATTAAATCAAATTATTTGTAATAAAGTAAATTTTAGAAATATAAAATCTCCATAATAATCAATATAATTTTCAATGTGTAATGGAGCATGCACTTCTTAAGCTGAACCCATGTTAACCAAGATTTTCTAATAATATATATCTTATTGTATTTTGAATTTTCAACTTATGTCAATTTACTTAACTTTTTGTAAATAAAATATTAAATGCATTTTATTGCCGAAATCAAATGAAAATAGCCTTCTCGAAGTGATAATTTTAAATTGAGAGACTAAAAAAAATCACTCGGAGTCGTGTCAGATGAGTACGATGCTTGGTCGTGGAAGATGACGCAATATCATGATGCGAATTCAATGAATTGGCCTTCCATAATTCTGTCTGTTTTGGTGGAAATTGTTGATGTAAAAGCCATATGAACTATTATTCACCGTTTGTCCCTCTGGAAGAAATTAAGAATAAACCATACCGCTATTATTGAAAAGATTTGTCAGTCCTACTCTCATTTTCTAACGAATTTGATATTGATAGATTTTGTGACTATTTAATTAGTAAATGTAAAATCTCAGGACATTATGTGTCCAGTGATCTGGTTTGAATGTTATTTTTCAACAGCATAGGGCTAATTTGACACCACTAGTGCGGCAGCAAATTTTATGCCCAAAATAAAGCCAAGATAATTTTCAACGACTCATATACTGTTTTCAGCGGACTAGACGAAGCGATTGCACTACCATATCTCCGTCTTCTTTAAATACTTTATAACATTCATATGTCTATGTTTGTAGCATGAACAATTCACGGAATCGCACAAGACACTCCAACAATTCCATCACCTGCACAATGCGGGATGCATCCAATATTCTGCGACAATTTCGTAAGCATCGTGCTTTCGAATATTATCTAAAAAATCTGGAACCTCTAAAGAGAATATTAATTTATAATAATAATTTTAAAATTATTATTATTTATTAGTTTTTTAAAATAAACTTCTATATTTTTTTTCTAAATACAAATTTTCTTAAAATATTGCTGAACGCAATATAAACACAACTACTTCTGGGTGAGGTTATAACTAATTATATTTAGTACTTGGAGAACATTAAATCTTCGGTATTTTTCAATACCAACAAGAACCTCATCCACCCCAAATATTTAAATACAGAGATATGACATCTAAATACAGCTAATGATCATTAACGTAGTCATTAGGAAATGATAGATATGTTCTTGGGTAGTAAATTTTACAGACTGCGGTAGGTAATGGAAGTAAAATAAATATTTATTTAATAATAATAATTTTAAAAAAAATTCTATATTTTTTTTTCTTAATACAAATTTGTTTAAAATCTTGCTGAACGCAATAAAAACACAACTTCTTCTGGGTGAGGTTATAACTAATTATATTTAGTAATTGGAGAACATTACATTCTCGGTATTTTTCAATACCAACAAGAACCTCACCCACCCCAAATATTTAAATAAAGAGATATGACATCCGAATTATTAAATGCAGCCAACGATTATAATGGTCTTCACGAGGAAACGATAGACATGTTATTGGGAAGTAAGCTTACGGAATGTGACAGGTAAAGGAAATAAATGGTAAATAATCTTAATTTAAAAAATATTCGTAAAACCATATATATATATTGTAAATTAAATGCAAAAAATGAAAATAAAACTTGATTTTATATATTACAGCTTTCATCTATTAGAATCGTTCAAGTTAAAGTCTGCTTTATACGCAAATTAAAACGAGTATAATTAAAACGAGGACTTCCTAAGATTTTTTATCAGCCCACTGATATTTATCGTAATTTCGTTTTTGAATTATGTATATGACAAACTTACATTTAAAATAACAACATAAGAATAGTTTCTAACAATTATAAAATGCATTATTTTATACATAAATAGTGAGTAGTATATCCACGCATGACAAAATAAAAAAATTTGTAAACGTTAAGTTTACGGTATTTTTCAATACCCATATAAAGAGATAATATTTTCAACTTTTAAATAAAAAGAATTTGGACACCATTCTTATGGATTTATAACAGTAAAACAATTTTGGGTCTACTATGTGGAAGTGCACTTCATAGAGATGACTGCAGAAGATACAACAGAAATAATTAATGAAAAAGTAAGAAATCGAATTATATATAAATAATTATTGTATTTTTATGTTTGTATTTATTTAGAATTGTGTTCCAGATTTAATAATATCAAAACCTTAAACCGAACAACAGCGTGTTTCTCTAGTAAATAATTCAAAAGCACTATAACGGATATCCAATCTTAGCCCACTATGATAAATTTTTTTATCGAAGCCAATACCGTGGTGCCTTGCAAACGCCATTCTTCTAGCGCAGGTCAAATTAACTTTTCGTTCGTCTATTACAAAATCAGCCAAGCTATACTTTTCAAACAGGATCCACACTCATTAAAACTGATTGCTATCGAATCTATCGAGACGTGTTATTTTGCTGTAGCTATAGTTTCTTCAGAATCAGCCTTTCTCACATATGGAGCCAAAAATTCGCCATACAATTTTTGTTTAATTGAAATTGAATTGTAAAATTAAGCATTTTGATTTTGTTTTATATTATATATACTTATAAAGATTTTATATATTACAACATATTGTATATATAACTTATAAGAATATAAGAAACATATGAACTGAAATAAATTTATAATTAAATATAAGTCCTCAAATTGTTTTTCGCATTTTGTTAGGAAAATAACTGTTAGCACTCGAAATACTGATTACATTTTTGTATTTAATAACTCTCAGTCCCCCTTTTAACAATATGTGTAAGATACATTTTTTTCTGCATTTAAGGGAAAACATATACTCCTTATAGCTTTTTCAAGTGCTGAATGACAACTCAAGACAACTCTCACCACCATTCTCCCTGTCTAGTTATCCATGAAACTAAGTATCCATTATTTCAACTTTTACATCCATAATTTACATTTTGGTAATTAATGCAAGAAACGCTTTTAGTATGCTATACTTGTAATCTTTCAATAATGCTATCTTATATTAGATCTTTAATCGGACAACTACTTTCTTGCAGCCAAGGCTAGGATATAACTTACAATTCAACTTTTAAACTGATAGAATAGCCAACTCTTGGTGCGAACTAATGGTGTGATTAAGAATGTCGAGGGAAATGTTGGAAGATAAGGTTTTTTCAGACGAAAAAATCAACAAAGTTAATAGAGAATTTTGCAAGAAGAAATCGAGGCTTAAGCATTACGCACAAGATTATGAAAAAACTTAAAATCTGATATAATAGTGTTGAAATTTACCGACGTAAGTATAGTGAACTGGGTGTTACTACACAGCGATTGAAAAAAATCAAGACGTCAGACGCACACAGTTTGTCTACAGCATTTTTAAGCCCACTTGCAATATGCTGATAGAGTGCATGTATTAGCTTAACTGCAAGATATAGCTACTTGAAGGTACAACTAATGATTTGAATCTCAGTACCCTATGAGCACACAACTGCAGTATTAACGTAATACCTGTTGCGTACACCCAATACAAAGGTAATAAATTATTTATTTGTTTATTATCTTTATTCAATAGAATAATAAGAGCGCCATGGTACAGCAGGTCGATAGATATGTTCTTATAGAGAGCTTAACTAAATTAATACGCATTAAGGCATCATTATTCAACTTATCATTATAAACTCGCATCCATACACTTTCTTTGCTGAAAACAATCTCTTCCAATAAGCGGACATTGAAATGGTCATGTTGTCGGTGGACCCACAAACCAAATTCACGCAGAAACCAAGTTTTAAGATTTTTTTTTATTTCTTTCTATATCGATACATTATTATCTGGCGAACATTTTAACTAAAAGGTGTTAAGAAATATACGGCATATTATTAAATTAATAATAATAGAAGTCGATTTGTTATACTTTTATTTTATTTTATTAAATATATTTTTTAAATAAATAATAAATAAAAATTTTTTAAAAATTAACATAAATCAT